GTTCTTATGTTCTTATGTTCTTATGAAGTATAACAATGAATAAATCAGTGTGGAATCACTTTTTATATATTTATTTTTAAATGGTTGGCAGGGTCCTTTACGGGGGTGGGCTCTGGGAGGGAGTTTGGTTGCGGGGTCTGGGCTGGGGTAGGGGGTTAGGGTGCAGGCTCTGGGAGGGATTTTGGGGGCAGGAGATTGGGGGGGCGGGAGAGGATGAGGGGTGCAGCACTTACCTTGGGCGGCTCCCGAAAGCAACATGCACACCCCTCTTGCAGCAGCTCCTAGGCAGAGGGTCAGAGAGGTCTCCACACATCGCTGCCCACAGGCACCACCCCTGCAGCTCCCATTTGGCCGTAGCTTGGGGTGGGGGCAGCGCGCAGACACACCTTCTTCTCCCCCCACCCCCACGGGCCGCAGGGATATGCCATCTGCCAGTGGTGGCAGCAGGGGCCCTGGGCCCTTTTACATTGCTTGGGGGTGGCAGGTGGGGCCAGGGGAGAGACCCGGCTCCGAACTTTGAGAGCCGGGCCCCGTGATCTCATATTGGTGGAGCACGGGCCCATACAACTCGCCGCCCCTGCCCGCAACCCAGAGTCGGCTGGCACTGCTCAGCTGCTGGTGTCTGTTTGCTGTGTAGACAAACTTACTGAGGTTGTCTTCAGGCCTAGGAAAGGTGGAACAGATTGTTTAGAATAAGTAGTTAGCACATATTATAAGGGACCACTCAAGGTAGAATGGCCTGTTAACCCCTCTGCAGTCATAGGACAAAAAGGGGGGGTTAGTGGGTTACAGATAGTTGTAATAAGTCATAAATCCAGTGTCACTGTTTAGTCCATGATTTTTAGTGTTTAGCAGAGTAATGAATTTAAGCTCTCAGGCTCTTCTTTTGAAACTGCAATGCAGGTTTCCTTTCAGGATGCGGACTGATAGGTCAGATATAGAGTGATCATTTTGTGAAAAGTGTTCACCCACAGATGATAGGGTGTTCTTCTCTTTTATCATTTTCTTGTGTGAGTTCATTCGAGAGCGTAGTGATTGTCTTGTTTCACCCCATAGTAGTTGGGGCATTTAGTGTACTGGATGAGGTACACCACAAGTTGTGATAGGCATGTGTAGGGTCCATGGATCTTGAGAGGTGTGTTTGGGATGATCATTGTAGCAGTGGAAATATGTCTGCAGGTTTTGCATCTCTTGTTCTGGCAGGGTTGTATGCTACAGAACTTTTAGTGTGCAGTAGAAGGGTCGATGGGGTCAGTTAGTGCACTAGAGATTTACACCCCAGCTTGCCATGTACTAACTCTATGTATAGACAAACCCTTAGGAACAAGTGTGTGTGTATGTGAACATAAAAGAAGTGTCAAGTATCAAAAGGGTAGCCGTGTTAGTCTGGATCTGTAAAAGCAGAAAAGAGTCCTGTGGCACCTTACAGACTAACAGATGTATAGGAGCATGAGCTTTCGTGGGTGAATACCCACTTCTTCGGATGCATGTCCGAAGAAGTGGGTATTCACCCATGAAAGCTCATGCTCCTATACTTCTGTTAGTCTGTAAGGTGCCACAGGACTCTTTGCTGCATAAAAGCTGTGATGTATAAAAGCTGTGATGTGACAGCTGTGAAATAGTCCTTTTTTATATATGAAATTTTCAATAGGTATGTACACATTGAGTACATTTTACTGCATTCAGTACAGCTCTATCCCAATATAACGCGACCCGATATAACACGAATTCGGATAGAACGCAGTAAAGCAGTGCTCTGGGGGGGGGCAGGGCTGCACACTCCGGTGGATCAAAGCAAGTTCAATATAACGCGGGAAGATTTTTTGGCTCCCAAGAACAGCGTTATATCAAGGTAGAGGTTACTCCAAATACAGATTAGTTACTGTACAGAAAGATAAGATAAAAATAGGATTAAAATACAGTTTTATCTCCCATTCTTTCTCCTTATTATTCCCCAAGTGCCCTTTCTCTCTTGTCAGGATTTTTCTAGGGATAAAAATTGTAAAAAGTGCCTTAGGTGACTTAAGGTCTAAGTACCAATGAAAATTATTAGGAGTTAGGTGTTTTTGAAAATGGAACTCAGACTCCCTAGTCACTTAGAGGTTTTTAAGGTCAGGCTTGACAAAGCCATGGCTGGGATGATGTAGTTGGGATTGGTCCTGCTTTGAGCAGGGGATTGGACTAGATGATCTCCTGAGGTCCCTTCCAACCCTGATATTCTATGATTCTAAGGTGCTTTTGTGAATTTTACTCCTTATCATTTTTCTGAGTTAATTCAAACAGGAGTTAATAATTTTCAGTTACTTTCTATAAAGTTAACAGGTCATCTTCACTATCTGCATATGTTTACCTTTCCTTTATCTCGTAGCCCACAGCTTCAGACCCTTTCACCTCCTCTTTTGGAGGGATGGGATTCTCAGATGACCCTTTTAAAAGTAAGCCAGACACTCCAGCTCTCCCACCGAAGAAAAATGTTCCTCCACGACCCAAGCCACCTAGTGGTAAGTACATTTTTTTCCTAGTAGCCAATTCCCCCAGTTTTCCCATCTTCTTTGTCAAGATAAAGAGGAATTTACGATTTTCTGTCTTGTTGACCTCGGTCAGCCCAAATTCTAAGAAGATCAGTAGCTGATTCAGACCTGCAGTAGTTGGGACTAAATATCAGATTTTCAGTAAATGGCAAGATGTGTCTACACATTTTTGCATTAATTCAGTTCAGAGGTGCTTCTGAGTGTATGGGTCAGTTTCTGTTTGAGAGATACCTAAATGCGAATGAATCTACTGTATAGGTTGAGCTAAAAATATAAACCTTGTTTTAGTATGTTGTTCCGCTTCAGATCATTTGCTGTCCCAAGATTTCATTTTCTAAGCCATTCAGATGCTGGTGAAATTGTTTTACAAATGGGAGACACTTCATAGCTGTTAGTTTCAAGTCCACTTTTATCAAGCTGTGGTATATTTCATTTTTGGTTAGCTCACAGAAAAAAGCATAATCCTGACACAAACATGCTTCCAGTTTGGTCTCTAAACTCTGGCACCAGATTTTCTGTAACATAAAAATGTATGGGTCAAGCATCCAGAATTTCTAGAAATACTTTTTTTTACTATGGTAACGAGCATTTTACAAGATCAGGATAGATATTGTAACTGTCACAGTTCAGGACAACTGAATGTGTATTTCCCCTCAATAGTCCAGCAAGGCACCCACTCTCAGGGTTCTAGCTCCCCAGCCATTGCCTTTCTTCGGCGGAGACCTGCGTCTGACTCCCTTCTGACCACGGTATTTCCAGGCTGCACTGTTCCCTGCCTTTACTGTGTTGTTCCCAGCAGAGACCAGCTGCCCAAACACACTAGTTTGCTTTCTCTTCAGAGATGGTTAAGAGTATGATTCCTCACAATTATAGATACCACACAGCTCTTTTTAAGCACGCTATATTATTCTTAAAGTAAAAGCACTACAGAGAAAACATATTAAAAACAATAAAAGGTCCTATCTGCATGCTAATAAGCTTACCAGAGATCACACTAATTCTAACATGGGCTCTGGCAAGACCAGTCCTTCAACACCTCACCTTGAAATTTATGGTTTCAAGTTCATCATTGCTTCAGCTCAGAGTAAGCACTTGGGTACGTCCAGACTACCCGCTGTATTGGCGGATAGCGATCAATTTATCGGGAATCGATATATCGCGTCTCGTTAAGACGCGATATATCGATCCCCAAACGCGCTCCCCGTTGACTCCGGAACTCCACCAGTGCTAGCGGCGGTAGCGGAGTCGACGGGGGAGCCGCGGCCGTCAGTCCCGCGCCATGAGGACGGGAGGTAAGTTGGAATAAGATATGTCGACTTCAGCTACGGTATTCCTTAAGGGGCCTTGGTAGGCCAGGTCCTTCTAATATTTCCATAAGGATTGGGGGCCCTCCATGAGAGGTTCTATCCATTTGCTGGATCAAGAAGGCAGCCCTGAGCCTGTTTAAGATAAGGCTGTTTATCCAAAAAGCTTTTCTTTGTCTGTTGGTCCTTGGAAAATCCAGTTTAATTGGTATATGCATATATCTCTCCAGGGGCTGGCTTCAAACGGCTGATAACTGGAGGAATTATATTAGCATCCCCTTCTTCTTAGAGGAGTTGCATACAATTCCACAATAGCACATACACAATTACATTTTTAAATAATCAACCCAGAGATATTAAACCTCATTCAGTAAGATTTCACTTAATTCAATAAATTTCATTTAGGATATTGCAGGAAATTGTCAGTCTGCCACAGTAACCCCCATACGTTTTAAGTGTGGGTCATCCAGTTCCCTTACATTACATTTTGGTCTTGTCTGACACTTTAGCTTTCCAGTTCTCACACCTATTCAACTTACAAAGCAGAATTGCTCATTTGGTTGGCACTGCAGGTTAGCTAATCTCTACCTCCCCACTTAAAAAGAGGCAGCACCCTTATGGATGTACTCCAGATGGTACTGTAGGTTCTCATTTGTTGTAAACCATGCCTGTATCCCCAGACTGAAATCAGTGTTCGGGAAGTATTATTTAATAAAGCAAAATCTTTACGCAAACAGTGGAATAAATTTAATTCTTGCCACCTTTATGGAATCCTGCATTAAAGCAGCCATTAAATCTTCTAACACTAGTTTTCAGCTGCCATTTTGGTTTTACTCCTCAGAAGGATCTGTTAGATACTTAAAAAAATTGGTTTCCAATTGATAAGGCATTTTGGAGCATTGCAGGTCTGAGTATTGATTAATACTGACCATCAAAAAGGATTGAGTAATTTTAGCAAGGTCCTTGAAGCAGTTAATCCCATAACTATCTACTTATAGGGTCTCTATCACCATAGTATCTAAGAGCCTTCCAAGAATTTAAAATAGAAATAATAATACATTACATATATAATAAAATAGACCACCAGAACACTGATGAGCAGTGAGAGAGAATATACTGTGCAACAAAAGGTAATCTCTTTGCCATCTAGAATGCTGCGTGTGGTGAAGTGTTGTATTTTTTTGTCAGTTTTCATAGGAAGTATGTTATTGATTAGAGAATATTGTATTTGATCTTTCTTTCTGGAAAAGGGTCTGAACAAAATAATTCAAAATTTAAAAGGGATCTGTAAAGTGGAATGAGGCCAACAGATAATACAGATGAGGCGTATTTAGTGTTTTTTTTAAGTGTGGCTTCTTTCCATGTCTTCCTTGCCTAAACTTGATTATTCCTAGTAAATACAGTGTAATTCTAACAAAGACAGGGAATGCAGTCAAAGATATTACCTTGATTTGTATCTCCTCCTCCCCAAAGAAAGTTTTTATGCAGACTACCTTAGAAGGTGGTTGACTTAGAGTACTGCCTATTTTTCCTATATTTTCAGCTGTAATAGGCTACATTAATTTGAATTTATTTTGAATTTAGACAAGAGAACATTGCTTTTATTTAGCTTTTTGAAAAAGTAGCATCTTAAGTATCTGAATTTCTCCTGTTATGTGAAGACAGAAAATTTACCAGGAGCAATGCTCTTCTGTTAGACTATAGAGGAAATAAAGTTGTTCTTTTGGAAAGCAAGTGAGCCTCACATACTAATGCACAGTTAAACTCCTCCCTTCCTTCCACACTGGCAATCATCAGTGGTTTCTTAAAACATGAGAAATTACATAGTAATGTTCTGTGTTGCTTGCAAGAGATACAAATGAGTGTTATGATGGAAATCCTGTTCACAAAACAAGTAACAGAAGAGGAACTTCCGTTGTTTCTTACCTTGCTCGTTAGTCCGTTTAATTCAAAAACATGTATGTGGTAAAGATCTTTCTAAGAGGTGAACAAATATCAGTTCAGATCAGACAAATCTAAAACTTGGTCTTATTACTGTCAGTTTATACTCTTCCTTTATCATGTAGTTGATAAGACAAACACACGAACATTGTTTGAAAAGTACTTACGTGGTTTGTATGTACCTTATCCCTTCGTTATTCAGAAAAAATAAAGTACCAATAAAAGGTCTCTAGCTGTCCTTAGCTAGAGGACACAAACACTATGATTTCTACTTGAACTGAACTGATTTGTGCAAAATTGGTCTTGTGCCAGATTCACCTCTGCAGGCACAGGGGTGATATGCATTGGCTTGCCCCTGTCCCTGTGATTCATCCCAGCAGAGGCCAGCAGCAATGTCACTACTGCCTTCCCCACTGGTTTCTGTCTAAGGAGTGTTGGAGCCCATCTTGTGGAGGCTGCCCTAGAAATGCAGTGAATCAGCACATTCATTATCTAGCCTGGTCTGATATCCACTTTTGGATCTGTGCTGGCTGGCTCAGAATCACCTGATGTGCCCCCTCAGACTGTATCTTGTTCTTGGTGAACTTTCTGCTATAACGAATCCATAGCCTGTGTTCAACTAGTTATATTTAATCACGCCCCTTGTATTAATTTCCCATTATATCTCATTAAACATAAATTACTTTGAAACTGGAATGCTCTCTGTCACTGTGATACGTGAGTACTGTCACTAGACTCTCCTTGATCTTCTGTCTTTGGTAAGGGATTTCAAAGGGGTCTCCAGAAATGCACCTGTAAAAAGACATATTTATACATGTAAATGGATAATTAGATTCCAAGACCAGAAGGGACTATTGTGATCATCTAGTATGGTGTCCTGTATAACACAGGCCATATTTATTGTTACACAATAAAAATGTATGCCTTATTTTGAGTCTGAATTTGTCTAGCTTCAACTTCCAGCCATTGGATCGTGTTATACCTTTCTCTGCTAGATTAAAGAGCCCATTATTAAATATTTGTTCCCCATGTAGATACTTAGACTGTAATCAAGTCACCATTTAATCTTCTCTTTATTAAGCTAAATAGATTGACCTCTTTGAGTCTTTTGCTATAAGGCATGTTTTCTACGCCTTTAATCATTCTCAAGACTCTTTTCTGAACCCTCTCCAATTTATTAACATCCTTCTAGAAGTGTGGACACCAGAATTGGATACAGTATTCAGCAGCAGTGGCACCAGTGTCAAATATCCTCTCTCCTCCTCCTTGAGATTTCAGTTTATCCATCCCGGGATCATATTAGCTTTTTTGGTCACAGCGTCACACTGGGAGCTCATGTTCAGCTGATTATTCACCATGACCCCCAAATCTTTTTAAAATTCACTGCTTCCCACTGTACTGTACTGGCAGGTATTTCTGCTCATATATAGTCCATTGTTTGGGGTCACTGCTCTTGCATCTGAAAAGGGCAGGCAAACACAGCATACTGTCATGGGCCCTATAGTGCAGGTCCCCAAAATCCATATAATTTCATCCCTCCCCACTTTTTAAAAGAACCTCTTTAAATTGTTTCCCTAAAGTTGTTTCTTAGACTGTCCTTTATTAGCCTTATTTTTATCCCACACACATAAAAGGAGGACCTGTCCCTGAGCCTAGTTTAAGGGGCTATCAGAGTTAGTTTTTGCCTGTTCAATGCAAATCAGGGTTGTGTTCATTGTTGACTAA